TTAAAAACCAGAGAGCTAGTCTCTAAAACAGACATGGCTGCGGCTGGATGCTAACATGTTTGTTAGCTGTCAGATTTAAGTCAGAAATTTGAGAATAAAATAAAAATTCTGAGATCAAAGCCAGAATTTTGAGATTTTTTCCCGTATTAAACTAAAATAATATCTAAAAATCAGTAAACTTGTTTTGTTTTTTTCCAGTGGCCCTAATCGTCTTCCGTAGTTTTCATTTTTCAGCTTGTTATTGTTTCCCGGAGCCTCCAGGTGTCATTAGACCTGAATCCCTTCAGACTTCCTGGTTTAAAACACAAACTGAAGTACCCTGTGCACCGCGATGTACTCGTCCAGCTGCTGTTTTAACTCCGCCCGCCGGCTGTCAGTCAGACCTTCCTGGCCAATCCAGAGAGGGGCGATGGGCGGGGCTTTGGCTGCTCGCCGTTTCTCCAGGAATCGACGCCCCTGGAGGAGCAGACAGGTGTTATTGACAGCAGTGGGACGGACTGGGCGGCATGAGGGCTGCTGGTGTGTTTTACGGCTCTCTGCAGAGTCCTGGCGGCGCGCCGCTGCCTCTGCGACTCTCTCAGAGCATCTCTCAGACAGTCGGCGTAGCGCCTTCTCTCTCTGAAGCCTCTCCAGAAGCTCTGGATCACCACAGCAGCTCTGCGTTCACACTCCTGCAGGTACGGTTGCACCTGGTCTGAGATTAAGGCAAGTTAAACTATATCAGGTTAAAGCTGAGATTAAATTAAAGATGGAGGCGAGCTGAAGGTTTACCAGGAGGAAGACGCTGCAGCAGCTCCCTCTGCTTCTGATGGAAGCGTCTCCTCGCCTGCTGCCTCCTCACACACACCTGACAGTTCCCACAATAAAACACCTTCAGAGCTCCGATGAACGCCCGAATGAATCATAGATCCAGAATAAATAGAAACCATCAGAAGGCGCTGCTCTCTCTCCCCAGAACTGACCTGATACCTGAGCTGCTCCTCCCACTGCTGGGCCTCCTTCTGCTCCTGCTGAAGCCTCCTCCGCGCCCTGAGTCCCACACAGGATCATGGTCAAGTTATCGCGTTAAATACGATAAGTTAGATGCTGTTCTTCAGACGGAGGAACCTGTATCTCCTCTGCAGCGCGCTGACGGCTCTGCTCAGGTTCTTCACTCTGCGGCGGGTCTGATAGGAACGCCAGGCGGCCTGGATCGCACACGCTGCCCGCACGCGCTCGCTGCTCACCTCCTACGAGAGACGGATGATTATGATCCTCCAAAGGTAAAGAATTTACATCTGACAATTTAACAGTGATTTAACTATTTAAGTTTCCTGATACAGAAGAGGAGAAACGCCACTGAAATCAAAAAAGTTAACTGATTTTTAAATATTTCAGTTTAATATGGGAAAAAAGCCAGGATTCTGACTTTAATCTCAGGATTCTGACTGAATTCTGCCAGCTAACAAACATGTTAGCATCCAGCCGTAGCCATGTCTCTTTTAGAGACTAGCTCTCTTGTTTTAATCACCTTCTGCTCTTCCATTAATCAAATAGAATCAGCAGGGACCCTCAGGGACGGAAAAAGTCTCCTAATTCCATCATTTTCCACCAATGTGTTCCTGTTTCTCCCAAACAACTGAAGCTGAGAGCTCCACATCTCTGTCTTCATGGAGCCCATCTACATTAAGATCCACAATTCTGAGATTAAAGTCAAATTTCTGAGATTAAAGTCAGAATTCCGAGATTAAAGTCAGAATTCCAAGATTAAAGTCAGAATTCTGAGATTAAAGTCAAAATTCTGAGATTAAAGTCAGAATTCTGATTAAAAAAAGGTCAGAATTCTGAGATTAATGACAAAATTCTGAGACTAAAGTCAAAAATCTAAGACTAAAGTCAGAATTCCGAGACTAAAGTCAAAATTCCGAGACTAAAGTCAAAATTCTAAGACTAAAGTCAAAATTCTGAGATTAAAGTCAGAATTCTGAGATTAAAGTCAAAATTCTAAGACTAAAGTCAGAATTCCGAGACTAAAGTCAGAATTCCGAGACTAAAGTCAGAATTCCGAGACTAAAGTCAGAATTCCGAGACTAAAGTCAAATTTCCGAGACTAAAGTCAAAATTCTGAGATTAAAGTCAGAATTCTGAGATTGAAGTCCGAATTCTGAGATTAATGACAAAATTCTGAGACTAAAGTCAGAATTCTGAGACTAAAGTCAAAATTCTAAGACTAAAGTCAAAATTCTGAGATTAAAGTCAGAATTCTGAGATTAAAGTCAGAATTCTGAGATTAAAGTCAAAATTCTGACTTTTGTTCCATATTAAACTAATATAAAATTTAAAAATGAGTTTACTTTTTTTTTTTCAGTGGCCCTAATCCTCTTCCTTATCCTTCCTTATCATCCAGAGGAAAATTAGGGTAAATATTCAGCTAATAATCATTTTAAAGGTCATGAATATTTTTAGAGCAGAAGAAGAGAGAAGCTCCACATCAGGAGGAAACAAGAGAAAAAGAAAAATCTGTTTTTAAGAAGCATAAATATATAAAAATAAATAAATACTTTGGAGAAAATTGCTGCTTTTTTATTTATTCTACACAAGTTATTTTCATTAAATAAAAAATAAAAAACAGTAAATGGATGTAATCAAACAAGTTAAATAAGTCGGTGAAACATTAAAGAAGAAATACTTATAAAAAATATATTATAAAAAAAATATAAAAATATGAATAAACATAATATTCATAGATATTTTTGTACTATAATCAATTTTAGTATAATTTTCACCTTTTCATTGTTTTTTTTTATAT